TAGTCAGTTGGATTTACATAAAGAAACTGAAGAGAGGGGGAGGGAGCTGGCTTTGCTGCAGCCCAGTCTCTTTCCACCCATTTATCCTGCTCCCCCTTTTTCTCCCCACTTCCTCAGTCTTACCTCTCTGATGTGTTAGTCACAAGACTTCTGGAAATCAGAACCTAACAACTCTATGGTTGTTCCGAAGGCCTTGATCTTACCCAAAACTGATGTCCTTTGAGAAACATTTTTCATATAAGAATGTAAATTCTGTAGCCATACAATGCACATATAAATGGCATGGCTCTGAGTGGTGCATCCTTGGGCTGTCTCTCTTTTGTGCCTTTCACTCAGGAGGCAGACAACCCCCAGGCTAGTCTGTCATCTCTCCCCAGGGAGCACTGAAGTCAAGAGAATACATTCTCAGAGACCTGTCTCAGGTTAAGACTTCCTATGTACAGATCCAAGCCTCCAGAGGCCCTTATTGCAGAAGCCCGAATTGCCTTCCCAGTGTAGGAAGGTATAGGTGTAGGGTGATGGAACAGGTCCAGCCTGCTCCCTCACCCCAGCCAGCAAACAGTTTGGAAACTGCTACCTTACACTTATTTTTCTTGCCGAGGTGTGTCTTTATTGCAGCCAGAGAGGCACACTCATGAACACCTCGCTCCTTTTTGAGTCTAGACACAATATTTATGAAATGAGTTGAGAAAATCTGGCAGCAAAAACTGGTCCACACATGCTGGACACACACACACACACACACACACACACACACACACACACACAACTCATCTGTGGAATCCCTCACCAGAGATCTTGCTACTGAGAATTCTGTTCCTGCTCTACATGGAACACGTTTCCTGAGTGGGAGGCCCCTGTGAGTGAGAGAATCAGCTTCAGGTTGTGTTTGGGTCAAAATGTGTTAGAAGTTAGCTTTGATGATCGCGTTCTAGCAGCTGTTGGGAAGACAGAGTGTGCGTGGAGAGTCTTTTAGTGCGCTCCTACCAAGTGACAGAGTGATGTATTTGTATAAAGTGAAACATTACTTATCATTTATTCACAAAAGGAAAATGCGCATTGCAGTCTTTCCAGCATCTAAAAGTCTTGTCAGTGGCAGCTCGGGGCTGTCCATCACCTGTACGATAGATAAATAGCCACATTTTCCAGAAAGCAGCCTGCTTCTTTGTGATTGAGTTTCACTATCCATATCCTTGTGTTTAGCTAAGTCTGGTGAACACACGGAGAAGCCTGGGACTGCAGAATCCCACAAGATGAGAGTTGTGGGAGGAGCTCTGTACAGCCCATGGAAAGTGTCAGGAGCCATGCACTTCAGTTTCACATGGGGTTGAGGTCATGGAGCCGACCTCAGCAGGTGAGGAACATAGCCTTGAGTAATAAAACCCATGCCCAGGTGGGGGGGTTCCCATACCCACACCACACACTCACTGTTGTGTGTTCAGGTGGTGACAACCAGGTGAGACATGACAGACTGCCCTGGAAGAGTCACAGGAAGAGCGTGGCATGAATGCCTTCAGGGAAGAAACATAGAGAAAGGAAGGCAAAGATCCTTCCAGATCATCATGACCTAGTTTATGGCGGTTGCTGGAGGCATCTAGAGGCTCAGACCCACTGTTATCTTAAGAGTCTGTGAACTGTCATGTATTCCTCCACAGATGTCACTCATGGCTCCAGTTGTGCCTCCTTTGTAGCTTTCACAGCAAGGGCGACTATGCACTTACTATGAGACCATTTGATTTTGTGCCTCTCCTTCATCAGCCTGTGAATCCAGACTCTCTGTAAGGAGCTGTGGTCACCTTTGGGCAATGACTAGGTGAGTCAGTGAAGGCTCCACATTGCTATGTGTCCCCTGGACCTTTGTAGGTTTCAGGATGTAGAGGTCTACAGAGGCCCTGGAGACGATTTTCTGGTGTCACTGTTATGGGAGAGGAGACACATTTGCCCTAGTTTCTATGTGCATATTTTCACATAATGTGATCCCCACTGGCTCTTAGTCACCCCTTGGCTTACATTTTTTAACACAATTTTTACTTTTGAAACTGTAGTTATTGTAACTAGGGGTTTTCAGCTTGTGTCTGGCATTTGGGGGTGCTGGTTTTAGTCCAAGGTTCTAGAAAGGGAAACGGCATTTGTTACCAGCCTGGCACCTGCAGGCTTGGCTTTTGCAGAGGCAACACTTGACACTCAAAAACTGGTATTCCTTGGCATGGGCAGGTATTTGGCTTGGTGGGACAAGAACAGGACTCACAACATCATGTTTGTGTATCATCAACTGTGTGGCCTTGGGCAGGAGACCTGGTCATTCTGGGCTCAACCTTTTCTTTTATGAAACAGGGATGAAGGTTCTTTCTCCTGAAGTCATTGGATGGAACAATTAAGTTGGAAAATACCAGTGAAGTCTTGGTCCAAAATAAATCCTTAGCAAATGTGTGTACATCATCCCCCCTGGCCTTTTACTTTTCCTCCCTTTCTGCAGTCTCCATTGAGAGGGCGAGAAGGGCACCTATCACCAGTGAATGAATGAGTTCACTCGGTGAGAGAGTGTAGGAAGATCTGGGTGGATGAGGGTGTGACCCACACTATTACTTACTTTAGAGTGTTGAATGGATATGGTGAAATTTCCTTAGTGAGTACCCAAAGGTCTGAACGCTGTGGCAGACAATTGAAAGGCATTATCTCATTTAATCATCACAAGAATGCTGTAAGTAAGGTTCCATTATCAACACTGTACAAATGAAATGAAAGGTCAGTAAGAGTGCCATGGGATAATGGTGTCGGAAGTAAGAAGTGATCTTACTAAGGTACCTTGAAACAGGGCCATGAATGGGGCGTGTGTGCAAGTTACCAAGGGGAACCAATGAAGGGCCACTTATCAGATCAAGGCTTCTTTGTCTCTTTATTAACTCTGTGATGAAAAGGAGAAAGTACAATTTAGAATGATGAATATGCTGGCTTAACATCAAGTGGGAAAAAACACTGAGGGTATGAGTGATCTATCTGTACGTGTGAGAATCTGCACTGTGGTGTAGGAAGGTGGGGGTGGGTGGGTTTTGTTGGATACCAAGAGAGGAAGGGAGGATGATAAAGACACTCTTCCTAGGGAAAAGAAAAAATCACATCCTTTTTACATCCACCTGAGAAGGAAGGAGAGAGAGAGCTAGCAAGGGACCGGGGAGAAGGCAGATGGGGCCTGTGAGGGTGCCCACAAGGGGTTAGGAAAGCAAGAATGCCTCTTGTGACATGCAGCAGCGTGCTTGTCATGTTCAGTGTCTTGCTATGATTTGAATTTGTAATGACCCCCACTCTCATTATTTGAATGATTGGGACTCCAGATGCTTACACTGTTTGGGTGACACTCTGGGAATTTGTAGGGCTGAGCTGGAGGAAGTGGCTCACTTTGGGTGTGTCCTTAGAGTTGCATTATCTTTGGATACTTCCTGTTTGGATCTCTTGGTCATAAAGTATGCATCTCTCCGCCAGAAGCTCCTGCTGTCCCAATGTCCCACCCAGGTACATGGGACTGGATTCTGATCCTTACAAAGTTGGGAGCCAAAGTAACCCTTTTCCTTAAGTTGTCCCTGTCAGATATTGTATTAACCGTGAGATGAACACACTAATACAATGTCTGAGGACATTAACAAGTATTTATTTCTTATGTTATGTGTATGGGTAGTTTGCTTGCATGACTGCATGTGTACCACGTATGTGCCTGGTGCTGGTAGAGGCCAGGCAAGGGCATGAGCTCCCCTGGAACTGTTGTTACAGTTGGATGTGGGAATCTTCATGTGGAACAGAGCTCAGGTCTTCAAGACGAACAGCCTAGTGCTCTTGATCCCGGAGCCATCTCTCCAGCTGCCCAAATATGTTTTGTTTGAATTTTCCCCCCTTCCCTCTGATACTCAAGGGTGGGGCTTAGCCTTGTGTTGGTTAAGTAAAACTAGGAGGGAGAATGTCTGGCTGTTAGACATGGAAGGCCTGTACTTTTCTAACAGAAAGAGAGAATTAGTTGGATGGGGGGTGGGGGAAACAAAGTGGGAAGAGAGGAGGGAGGAGGGGAGTTGTGATTGGGCTGGGAAAAATTGATTGATTGATTAGTAAAAAATAAACTAGGAGGGAGAGTCTGGTAATGACAGCATCTAGAATCCGAGGGAGTTCTCTGGACTTCAGTCTTCTTTGGATGGTGGGAAGGAGCCCATCACTATGAGCACCTGTGCCACGGTGGCCCTGAGTGTCACCTGTGTCAGCATGGGGGGGACAGGGAATGGCTCAGGAGGGGAGGGGCCATATAGTGAAATATTTGTTTAACCGTACAAAGATGTGATGCATTTGTTCAATTGTGTAAAGATGTGTTGCTGTTTTACCTTGCCTGAATAAAGCACCTGACTGGTCTAATAAAAAGATGAATGGCCAACAGTGAGAGAGGAGGTATAGATGGGACTTCCAGGAAGGGGTGTAAGTAGGAGGAGGAATTTAGGTCCAAAGAAGAAAGAAAAAGATGCCAGGGGCCAGTCATGGAGGAAGCAGGAAAGTAGGACATACAGAATGAAAGAAAGGAAGAATAGGCTAAATCAAGTTAAAAGAGCTAGTGGGACAAGCCTAAGCTAGGTCTGAGCATTCGTAGTTAATAATAAGTCTCCAAGTCTTTATTTGAGAGCTGGTTGTTGGTCCAAAGAGAACTCCAATTCCTCTGGGTCTCAGGGTTACCAGGAAGAATAACTGAATTTAGGGTTCATAGCTCCAGCAACTCGTTGGTCCTCAATAAATGCCCAGATCATCGTTCTAGTTGTCTGCAATGGCAATACCGCCAGGCTCAGCTCTCATATAACAGGGGACCCGGAAGGAAGCCTCATGGGGTCAATCGCTGTCACATTCACCATGTCTCTCTCACCCACCTGGATATAGGACAGAGCCCCAGAGATGCTGACTGACCCTGACAAGGTAGTGTTCAGCCTCTTATCCCACCACATGTTCGAACAATAAAAAAACCCTCAGCAGTCATCTTTACTGTGAAATTCTAAAATCATATTTATTCACCAATTCACAGTGTCATAATGACCACCAACATGAATCAGTTTGTAGGCATTTACGAGCCAAGGCTGAAAATAAATATCTGTCTGTGTTGAATAGGCATTTAACAAATTACTCAGAAACTGCAAGAATCGAAATTGTTAGAAATTTAAAGTTTGGGAGTCAGGCATGATAAGATCACAGCCATGGGGAGAAACTCAACCGATTCCCGAGAGGTTATTTCCCTATTAAATCCTTATGTACATGTACACTCTGGGCATCCTTCACTCTGCATCAGTTAGAATCTAGTGCGTCAATTAGGCAGGGAGAGGGTACCAAGGGAAGGGGTGGAGGGTAAGGTTTTTCTCTGGTCCCCTGTGGCTGGGCAACCTTATTGACCAACAACGTAATACACGGCTCTGAAGTTAGATTAGATTTTCTATAAATTCATAAGTCCATTTAATAAGACATTTCAAGGTTTGCATTGTATCAGACTCATACACACACAGCCGCATAGTTACCAAATAAATACACTTGTAGACTAAGATGACTCGTTCTTGGAGGCAGCTCAAGAGGCTCAGAAAATGTGTGCCAGGGTGCGCTGGACAGTTCCCAGGTGAAGCTGGCTCCAGGTAAAGACACTCCAGCTGCACTGACCTAATGGACACTGCCCAGTCAGGAGCAGGTGGAAGGGGGTCCATACAATGAGGTTGCTTTTTCTTTCTGCAGGGTGGACCCCAGAGAGGCTCCAGTAGGGCAAGCAGCCTGTCTATCTCAGGTCTTTCCCAACTGAGGTTGAGTAGGTGGGTGGGAACAAACAGGCTTTCCACCCAAGGTTTTTAAAAGATGACATCATCTCTAGATATGGGAGGAGGGAAGGGCCTGAGATCGGCTGGACCCAGAACCTTTATATTTAGTCCCAGCATCATGACTGAAGATGACAGATTCAACAGTATCTATCATGTACTTAAGGAAAGGCGTAGACAATGGCAGGGTGGGCAGACACTACACAGTAGAAACAGCATTGTGGGTGTTATTCAGATAGGTTCTAAATGTGTGCAAGCCACTGTGTGCAACACTGTCACTGTTCACTGCCAGAGAACCAGACCCTGTGTCTGCAGCTGTCTGATTATTGCATGGGCTATGGGAATTCACAAAGGCTTCCTTAAGCTAGGAGAAGTGTGGGGCCAACCTGCTTCTATATGGCTCAGTCAATATGGAGTTTAGTGATCTGTCTTCACCAAGTAGGGACAAGCTAGGTGCATCACTTCCAAACGTTTATGACTCCTGCTGTGTTCCAGGTACTTTTTCCAGGGCTTTGAGAGCTAAAAGCAAATAACAATAAGAATAACCTAAGGATTCTGGAGGATTCAAATTTGTTGGGACTAATGGCCTTTCTGTTTTTTTTCTCACTTCCACATTATAGATATGTATATATACACATACACATATATTATCAGCTTCCCTTCACTCAGTTATGTCTGATATTTTATACTTAATACTCTAATACCATAAACTAATGTCCCATCACATCATTATGACTCTTTCTTACATACATTACAATGCCATGCAATAACATAACAAGCACCACTCTAGTACAGCCAGCTTCTATATATGCTTTCTTCTTTCTATTCTCCACCTGGCTTTTTCCCATCTCCAGCCATGCCTGTCAAGCTCAGGGCACCAACAGCTCTTTCTTGGAGCAGATCATATGGAAACCTGATCGGTCATTCACTTCAAGTGGTTCTGACTTGTAAAGTGATTGCAGTAACTGCCTCTGTGGTGTTCGCATGGCTACACTCCCCATGTTTCCTTTGACATGTGAATCTAAGTGTACACACAGAGCAGTACCCCCGCTTCCTAGTTGCTCCCAATACTGTCACTCCTAATCATCCTAATCAACTTCTAATCCCCTCTATCACCTTCTTAGTCAACATCTCTTCCCTTCCTTTGCAAGTGATGCACCTGGGTGCCTAGTCTAACTTTCTTTCCCCAAAACTTTTGTTCTATTTCCACCCTCTGGAGTATGTCTGTGAGAGTGCCATCAATACTCCACCAGGGCTCTTTGCATCATGGAGAGTGGTTAGTGGTGAGAGCCACACCCCAGCACTCCCTGATGGCCAGAATGGATGCATTGTTGCCTCCAAAGACAGATGCATGCATTTTACTCAGCTATGTGACTCATGGATCCAGTTGAACCCTCTTGGGTCCACAAGGAATCCTTCCAGAGGGCAGAGGCTACTACCTTCTTGTCCACCCCGTTCCTTTCCCACAGGGGTGCTGGAGTCTAGACCTAAAACCTATGTGTTGATTCTCTGCCTTTGCAAATAGACATAACCTCTTCACTTCTTTTTCTGACAGCTCATTCTGTTGGAGAAAAGAATCCTCTATTTATGTGTTTGTGTTCCATATCTTTCCGAAATGCTCAGTATAGAGGGTCCAGATAACAGAAGTGTGTTTTCTTTCTCAGATAAAAGAAAACAGACATTAAAGCCAACATGAGTTGGTTCCTGTGATTAATCCACACCATCTGTATTCTGGAGCCTCTCACATCTGCTGCCCTCTTCTCGTTAGACTTTCGGGATTAGAGCTCCATAGTGATGACTCCTTCCATGGTATATCTGATAAAGGGGGTGGTAGAGCAGCAAGGAGCTGGGCTTATCAACAAATTAAGGCTCCATTTCCTGAGTCCCATGACCCATAGGGTAGAGCAAGTGGGGCTCATCAAGGCCTAGCTATGCTTGCTCCTGTCTTTGGGGAGACACTTACTGGTCCTGCCTGGTAAGGATTGCTCTGAAAAGAAGTCCCTTCCTGTCAGGTGTCATCAGTCCTTCCCCCTTCCACTCTTCTCCCACTCCTGATTTTGCAGATGATGGCTGATATGCTAAAGCCAGGGCTGGGGGAGTCTTTCTCCACCAGGGCATCTTAACTTCAAACCATACTCATTCCCTGAGGCTGGGTGATCTCTGGGTTTCTATTCAATTCAGCATTTGTTGAGTGCATGCTGTGGGTCAGATGCAGTGCTTGGGACACATGGTGACATCCTTAGTGCAGGACCAGGGTCCTAAGACACATCAGTTATCTCTTCTTGCCTTAGGGAGGTGGCAAGTGGAGGTAGGGAGTGTTGGAGGTGTCATATTTTCTAGGGAAGTCTGGGAAAGTAGACTGTGGCTCTTGGGCTCATGGCTCTACCTCAGGATATAACCATGTCAATAGATCAGAAGTACCAGTTCACATATTCTGCTCGTTGACTGCATTATGTGCCTCATTCCTGGAGGGTGACTTTCAACTACTCACTCAGGCCTCCTGATACCCTGGCTGGATGTGATCTCCTGCCCCAAGAGCAAACTGTCTCCTTGTCCCGCATGACAAACCTGCCAACCAGAGTCCTCTTTCCAGGACTGCTCTCCATCACTTTCTGTTTTGTCCCTTAGGAGACTTTTGTAATAAACGGTTGGTGTGCAAGGGAAACAGAAAATAGCCTTAAGTCTTGGGAAAGAAGTGTTGTCAGCAGGGACTTCACTCAGAGAGGCCGGGCTGTAAAAGAAAATTCCCTCTATTTGGTTTCCTTGTCTTCTCACAGGTAAATAATAGGCATGCCCTACATTTTCTTTTCTGTTATTTTTCCCTCCTTTCCTTCTACTTAACGAAAAGGGGACATTCTGACTTCTTAGAGATGTGTGCCTTCACCATGGTCTCTCTGCTGGTATCCCTTTGGAATCCTTGGGAGCTCGGGCTCCCTTTGGAGTCCTTGGAGGCTCAGTGTGGCATCTGTCAGGAGGGACACTTTTCTGAGAATGATGGGTTGGGTTTATAGAAACTCAATATTACTAGTTCTCCTGCCTTAGGGTGTTCTTCATTCCTCTTCTCTGCCCTGAGCTCTGACCTTGACTCTGAGATCCTGATAATGAGGTTAGACTTAGGCCATGGGCACAGTGACTGGTAAAACACCAAGGAGTTCCAGCTGAAGGTTTATGGTGCTTATTCCATAGATCTTACCATAAATCAGGCCACAGGTAACTGGTAGTTCGAGGAAAGGACAATGGTTGGGACCTGAAGGCTACATAGACCACAGGGATGAGATTCCCACTGTAGATGAAACAGCAGGTTTGACTTTGTTATTTTCTCTTTCTACTTTTAGTAACATGGGTTACTGTCCTTCCAAGAGAAGCAGTCCATTCCCCATCCAATTTAGTGTTTGAATTGTGACTGCATTTCCCCGGTCTCACTACAAATGAATAGTGCTGCAGTAACCTGGAGTGTCCTTGAATGACCCTGTTTGCCTGGATGCATACTGGGAGCAAAGCAGCCTCCTAGTGGCCTGGGCTCATTGCTGCAGTGTGACTGCTGCCACATGAAACGGGGCTTTGAAGGAGGCTACTCAATGGACAGGAACTGGGCAGGTGGCCTCCCTGGAGCTGGGTGACTTCAATACAACCCTCCTGGGCAGTGCCTCTCACTACTGTGAAGGGGCACGCGGGCAGGGATCATCTCACCCCCAAGCAGAGGAGACAAGTTGGAATTGGGAGCAGGTCCTTTGAAATGACTGCTTCAGGGTGTGAACTCGGGCCCTGCTCTGTTTCCCTCTCTTACTGCAGCAGGAGCTGGTGATTTCCTCCAGTTTGTTAGCAGCGGACGCTGGTCTCTTCCTCCACAGCAATGGTTCTCAAACCCTGGCCTGCCCGAGAACCAGACTGCTCCTAATGCACAGCTTGCTAAGCCTCCCTAGTTCCCGGGTGCTGCTTCTGCTGGTCTCACCCCACAAATCACACAGCCAGAGAACTGGAGCTGTCCAATGTGCTCAGCAAACCTCCCTCCGCAGAGCCTCCAGAGCTCCTCCCTTCACATATGAACTCTCACATGAGGCTGGTCAGACCCTGGGCGTTGACTGTCAGCCTCCCGCCGCCTCCCCCCTCCCCATGCCCTCTTAAATCACTGTTCATAACCCATCTGCTCTGCCTGGCTGCTGCTGCGCCTATTTAAGGACTTCCTGTCTTAGGTTTTACCAAATCTCAGCCATCAGTCATTATTTCTGCATAGAGGGGAAGGCTTTCCTCTGTAAGTGTCCTGAACCATGATATCGAAGGAGCATTTAGGAGCACATTGCTCACGTCCCCAAAGAGCTCTGTCTGTTGATGGAGGCTGTCAGCACCCCATAGGATCATCCCTACCATCTTAGCTAAAACAGATGACTGTAAAGCAATTATATTATACCCCTAAACTTCTGCCCACGACCGTCCTAACTGCTTCTGACAGCCTCTGGCACTACAAGACCAGGGACCCTCTCTATATGCCATTCATTTGCTCTTCTCCTGCTCCTGGCTTAGACTCTAGCTCACGTGGGTTCTCAATGAGGACCTCCTGAATTTGTTGAACATAACTGCAAACAGAGACTCCCATCTGCTAATTGACTGAACACAGCAGCTATCTGATTGTTCTCAGAAATGCTGTCGAGGTAATTTCTGTCTATCTTTGTTACCATGGGACAAAGTCGAGCTTGGCTTCTATACCATAGCTCCTGTAAAACCAACTCTCCCTTTCTAACCAGTGTCAGAAGGAAGCTAATGCAGAATAAATGCATAAAGTAAAACAAATAAAGACAGTCAAATGAGGGTGCTGGAGTTGACTTCAAAACTGGCATTGCTCATTTCCTTTCCCTACAGCTGGACAACGCAAAGTGGTTACATGAAAATTAAACCATGCCAAGGGCTTTGGCTTGTCAGCCTCGATAAATGTCTGGCACACAGAGAGGAGCCTGTGCCACCACAACCTGCCTGAGCACATGCAGGAGACTTCCGGGATCCCCAGAGGCTGCATGTTATATGAGCATCATCTACTATTCACTGGCAAATTCTTTTAAAGAACTAAATTTATTCCCTCCCATATTTTTTTTGCAAAGCCTATCTGGCTAATTTAAATGGGGGAGATGATTAAGAAAAAGCACTCCTTTCTTTGCTGCTAATATTGAGTCATGGAGGCAAGAAGACTGTTAATTCTGGAGTGTGCTGGGCAGGGCTTTCTGCTGATTGTGTTGCTATTGATTCAAACAGCCACAAGTCTTTAGGATCATTTTTAGAGCAAAGACATGAACAGGGCCGAAATGAAAATCAGTCCCAGATAATGAACACTTCTGCTTGGAAATCATTATGGACTGAGCCCTGCTGGGAAGGTGCTGAGCCTGGGGAGTTAGCTCTTGCCTCAGCAGAGGAGAGGGAGTCAGTGCTCAGTGATTAGCCTGTTCCCTGGGTCTAAGGCATCCAACCCTTGGGAATAGTTGTCTGATTTCATCAATTCAAAAATAACAAGTGGGATTTTGTTGGTTCACTTATTTATTTTTCATTTTTCTCCAATCTCCTGTGCACTTCTAAGAGAGCTTCCACGAAAGACCCCAGAGTTTTCCAGCTGTTCAGTTCAAGGCACCAACCACTAGGGACCTGATGGATAGGCATGGCATGCTGATAGAGCTGCTTTTTTCCCTGGGAAATGGAGGGCTGCTCTCTGTGTCTGCCTCACATGGATCTGCCTGGTGGCTAGTTTCCTAGATGTCTTGCAGGCAAAGTTTTGAGTGGGAAATGAGAAATAAAAAGAGTGAAAAGTTGATGACATGAACTGAATTCAACGAATTCAAATTTCCTCTTTTTTTCCCTCAGTATCATAAATCAATTTTACTGAAAAATAGATGGAGGAACGAATTGGAAGGCCCTTTGTTTGGGCATTGCCAGTGGTTGCTTTCATGTGCTGAGGCAGAGTTCAGTACAAGTAACAGAGAGAACAAATGGCTTAGTACCCTAAGTCTTTCTTTTCTGGATGTTTCCAAACAAAGATTGTTGATCTCTGAAGCACAGGAAGGGGGAGGGATGACGGAAGTAGCAGTGGTCCCCTTCACAGAGACTCAGGTCCCTGGAAGACACACTGCCTTGTTAAATTCAGAGCCTTTGTTAATATTCACAGCATGGCTAATGTGAGGGCTGTCTCGGAAATCAGTTTTTGTATCTGTGTGGCTTGGGGCCTTGGTCAGACTTACAGAAGTTGTTTAAATCTGTTACAATAGAGTCAGCATTTCTGGAGAGACTTCTCCAATGGACTTAATGGCTTTACTCCACTGGGGCAGCCTATAATGTGCTGGCCTCTTCTGATCTCACCCTCCTTCTCCTTTTCCTCTCTGTCTCCTCGGTTACCAGAGAATGGCTGGTTACCTATTTTCAAGCTCTGATAGCAGACTCAGGTTGTCCATTTGGCCAGCTAAGCAATGGGCTGGTCTCTGGCCAAACCAGTCAGCTGCTTCTCCTGGGGCTGAGTCTGCCTCTGCTTGACGGCTCACCTCTTCCTGAGCAGTCACACAGTGTCCTGATCATCTGGGGCTTTTGGTTTTAAAATACGACCCTACAGAGACTGGAAAATGCCAGTGTGATTAGTATCTTGCACTCATGGCCAGAATATCTGATGGGAGGCATATGCTATTACCTACCATTCACCTGGATACCTGCTGAAGCTTACTATTTTATAACCACCCCCATCTTACCCAAGGTAACAAAGTGAGTGTTGGGAACAGGAGAAAAGCCTGTGGTCCCAGTAGCATCATCTAGACATCTCAGCTTTGGGAAAGGCTTTGGGTTCTTGTTGTCACCATTCCCCTGCAATTATGAGTCCAGCCACCGAATGCTTCCTGCAATGACATATCTTTGCTTGCTTATCCAGATGCTTCCCAACTTCCATCTGCTTCCCCCTCCCCCACCTCACACAAAACATAAAGGACTTTTAATACTCCAAACAGCTCACCTAACCATGAATGAGTAATGTAGCCACAAGAGGTAGCTCGGGGGCACAAGAACGGCTTTCCACCCAATCGGAACTGAAAAGCCAGAGCAGAGGAAAGTGCTCTCATAAACCCTAGACTTAAATATTTGCAATCAAAATCTCATTCAAAAAGGATTGGTTTTAAACATACAAAGTGTTCCCTTTACTGCCATAATTTTGGGAGAATTCAGTAGCTCCTAAATGCCTGACTGAAGAATGTCTTTTTATTTAAATAATGGGATTGTGAAGCCTAACTGGTCCTGTAGATTTTCCCCTTGTAAATGTGCAGAAATAGCTTGGCAGAAAAGGGGGCATTTGATTGGGGTAATTCATGGGAGATGTGTCTATTTCCTTTCAATGAATATCAAATCTCAAGTTTCTTCCAAGAGGGAAAAATCAGGGCACTGGTTGAGTTGGTAAATGTGTCCCTTTTCTTCCTGTGTCTTTTGTCACTTCCTCCTCCTCTCTCCTGTGTAATTTCCATGCCTGTTTGTGTCCCTTCTACAGGTCTCTATGGGGAAAGGCCTGTCTCAATCAGCTTCATCCCATTCCCACTGCTGCTGGTACTGTGCTTAGTTAGCACATAGTGGGTGCTCAGAAATGCACGTTAATACGAACATAAGTAGACCATAGTGTAGTCTGCACCTCTGAACTGACTATTAGCAGGACACTGACTCTGAGGCTCAGTTTACTCATCACACACACACACATACAAAACCCATACCTAATAACAGATTTCTCAAATATTTCACAGGTTTGCTTGGAGGCTCAAGAAAGGGAAGGTTTGCACAAAACACTTTGGAAGATGAGAAAGCAGCATAAGGTAGTTCTCCCCAGTGAGAAGCTTGCACAGACCTGGCATGGACCCTCACTGCCTGGAGGGCTGAGCAGAGTAGAGGACATCAGTTGTAACCACTCCCTGAATGCTATGTTTGGATGATGACAAGGGGAATAGTAGGTTGAACCTGAATGCTATGTGATGAGAGACCAACTGTGGATGTGCACCAAGTCAATTCAGGATGGGCTTGGGGCAGAATAGGAGGCTGGGGGTGACCCATACAGACTGAAACAAAGAAGAGCTCAAGGTGTTTGAAATAAACATGTCCTCAAAGCCTTGTGGAACTCTTACAACAGCCTTAATTCTTGCCTGCTATTCTCTAGGCCACAAAAGATTGTCCACCAGTTACTATAGCAACAATTCTCCTCACGAACTGCCCATGTTACCATGTTAGAATGGAGATGGAAAAGTCTTCCTTATTAAAATAAGAAGAAAGAAGAAGAAATTAGGGTTTTGATATATTTGCCCTCTATTCAAAGCATCTCCCCCTTTTATGAGAAGAAAAAGAGGCAGCTGCTATTATTACAAATATGCTTTGAATTCCCAGCAGTTGAATTTCCCAACTTTCATTGCAGACTGAGAGAGCCTATATTTGTTCTACTATATCTGAAAAATGGTGTTGCTTCCTCAAGAGAAAACAGTAACAGGTGATAAGGGACCACAGGCTAGGTGGTGACAGCCTTGTCAACCTTTAGGTTGCTTTTCTCTGGTGGAGTCCAGCCATACCAACCCCATGTCAAAGCAGATTTCTGTCCACCATGAAGCCTTGTTGAGTCACCCCATTAGCTCATTCTTTGGCTCTTGGCAACAGCCAAGTCCAAGCCATCACCTGAACAGTGCCTGTGTGAAATTCTTCCCGGGCCCTATGGTTCTGTGTGGTGATAGCCCTGGATGGGGAAGTCCCACCTGCCTAGACCTTCTCTAGGCAGGTCAGGATGCTTGTTAGCAAGCCCTGTGATGAGGATACACTCTACTTATGGTCAAAGACCAACTAACTTTTGGTTTTAAATTTTTTTTAGACCAGTTTATGTAGTCTCAGAAAGAAGTAAAAGGAAAGGCTCCCCAAGATAGGAAGTGTGTGGTGTGGTGGTGGTGGTGGTGGTGGTTTGTGTGTGTGTGTGTGTGTGGTGGTTGTGTATGTACATGTACACTATGAACTTTTACCTTGAAACTCAATTCTGTCTCAAGAAAGGCTTTCTTTTCAATTCTTAAGCCCTAAGAATTTGGGCGTATGAAATTCCACTGCCTTCCCTATAGAAAGCAACCTGGAGACCAAGCGTAGGGAGGACCTGCTGGTGTCAGTGGAGAAAGGCTATTTAGTCAAGTACATACACAGTGAGTTACAACCCAAGGAGTTCGAAAACACTGAGCCTAGGATAAGTGGCTTAAAGGTGGACCTTTTCCCCTGCAGAAAAGAACAAGATGCTCAGAACTCTGCAGACTGGGTGAGTGACAGGATTCTGGGTGAGCCCAAGGCAGAAGAAATGAGGGCCACAGGACAATGGAACCACCCTGAAGTCCTCACTGGTGGTGACACTGGGCTCTTGGAAGTGCCCCATGGTTGGGACACAGGCAGTGCCCCAAACATAGAGGGTAGATTCCAGGAAGCTGATGACCTTCCCAGACCCGACATAAATTAGAGGCTAGTGTGACAGGCTTGGGCATACATTGGGTTGGGCTTTACAAAAGGGGCACATGGGCTGGTCAGCAGGCCCATAGCACTAGTAGGAGAGGATGGAATCATCCCATTCCAGCTGGGCTTGCCTCGTGCCACTCTGCCCATGTCTGCCTCTGCCCATTCCTTCCTCCTCTTCCTCTTCGCTGTCATCAGAGCCACTGCTGCTGGAGCTCATGCCTTCCTCTGCTTCCTCCTCTTCCTCTCCTTCAGTCTCTTCTTCCCCATGCCCTGGCCCTTCATGTTTCTGGAAGCCAGGAGAGAAATAAAATACGCATCAAAGACAACTGAAATCAAGTAACCCTCTAAATCGTACTGCCGTGGGTTTGATGCTGGCTGCATTCATGTGAACGTGGTGCCAGTCTTTTCTCAGTTCCAACCTTGGGAAATGAGGGTGATGCTTCCCACGTCACACGGCGCTTGTATATACAGAACATCTGAACAGTGTCTCTCTAGAGGGGAGCTTACTAAGTGGCAGGTGGTGGTGTCCTGTTTTTGCTTTAACTTATCTCAACCCTTTAAGTAAACTCTGTAGGCCACCTAATCTGCACTGTTAGCTAATCAAGAGGTCAGTATCGAATTCCTGAGTGTTGGTCCTCTCTGAACTACAGTGGGGGTGAGGGATAGATACAGAATCACTGCTTGCTTTAGGAAAATTCTAGTTATGTTTGTGTGCGCTAAGAATGATGGCACATTTTAAATCAGAGAACACAGTTCACAGGGGAACAGGGTTGGTTCTTGTTGAGAGGAGTAAAGAAGAGCAGAGATGGGAGAATCACTGGCAATAGACCATCAGACTAGGAGGAGTCTGGATCCAGGATCTAGGCAGAGGAAGAACCAAGCTGATTAGCAAAAGCACCCCACCCGGAGCTCCCTTCCCAGAGAGAGGATTACCTCCATAGGGTTGACTGTAATAGTCAGTGCAGAGTCATCCCAGTCCATCTCGGCCTCTTTGGCAGCTTCAGTCTCTTGGAGAAAATGCTGGTGGGCAATTCGCACTCGGTACACACCCATGGCCACAACAAACACCAGCATGCACACCGAGATAATGATGACCACTGTGGCGATGCTCGGGACCACTGAAATATAAAAAGGTATCCAAATGACAAAATGATTAAAGCTATAACTCATCCTTCAGAAGGGCAAAAATCCAGGTCCACAATAAAAGCTTCCCTCTCATTTCCTAGCTGTAGGGCTTTGGACCCTTATCTTACTCTGTCTGGGATATACTTTTATCAAATGTGTATCAGATGTTATACTCACTCTGCTATGGTAATTGTGAGAAGTGAGGGAAATGCCTATGAGCTTCTATGAAGCACACAGTAGGCATTCAATAAATGTAGACTTTCTTCTACCCATGGCTTTTCTCCTCAAATTATAGGGAGGTCTCCACTAAGAGTCAGGCATTGTAAAATTTAGTAGGAATGCAAGTGCTCTCAGATGGTGGTACAGTATGGCATAATATGGCATGTGCCCAAACAAAACGCATGGGTAGATGACTCTGAATAGAGTTAAGTGTGTGAGGGGTTCACGGGAAGCTTCTGAGTTAGCCCTGAAATGACTGGCACGTTGTCTCAGCCCTTTGTACTGATCTCTGCCATTATGGAGTGTGTGAAACTCCTCCATTAGTTGATGGACTCCCTCTTGAAAGCAGGAGTGTTCAGAAAGAGGGTTTGTAGTTTCTCCATGGCAGGATTCCCTTCCTTAGTTCCGAGCACCTTTGGATGCTATAACTGTCTGCTTGGTGGCTGCTCTTGAGTCCCAGTGTCTGAATTGCCATTGAGTATCCTACCTGAACTGCGCTGGATACTACTCCGGGACTCAGGGTGATGGACAGACTGGAGGAATGGTGGCTGCACAATAAGGTGGTTGACGTGTTCCTTGTCAGAGACTCTGACTTCATGCAGGACACTGACCTGGGAAGAGCAAGGAGAGATGCAAGTAGGCAGTTGAGATAGTTCTCTGAATGAGTGAGGGGATGGGCAGGTGAGTTAGGCCTTCCCTAACAGTGGCAGGATACACTCACCTCCAAGTTGAACTCATTGCTAGTGTAACGCCCATTGAGTTCTGAACACTTGATCCGGAACCTCCGGGTCTCAAGGGAAGTGGGATGCCAGTTGCGGTAACGGAGGTGGTGCAGCACCTGCTCGTAGCGGCTCATGGACCCCACACCTGCACCAAGAGACCACATCTTCTATCAGGAGGCATAGAGGAAGGGGAACTGTAGGCAATCCAAGGGTAAAAGTCAGAGGGCTTATGGGTGGAAAATGAACAGAAGCAGAAGTTTCAAAGATTAAACCAATCCAAAGGATTTTCATGTAGACTAGTCTGTGATTGGAATGTTTGTCCTCAGGCTGCCAAACATGGCTGAAACATTTTCCAGGATCAAAAAGTGAAATCACGCTGGGCGTTGGTGGCACATGCCTTTAATCTCAGCACTCAGAGGCAGAGGCAGGCGGATCTCTGTGAGTTGGAGGCCAGCCTGGTCTACAGAGCGAGTTCCAAGAAAGCCTCCAAAACAATACAGAGAAACCCTGTCTCGAAAAACCAAAAAAAAAAAAAAAAGTGAAATCACTATCTTAGTTTCCACAGATTTCCAAGGAGCAAGGATATGGTACAATTTCCCCAGAGGCTGGAGTTACTCTAGAAAGTAAAGTGTAGAAACATAAGAATTTCCACTTGACCCCTAGGACTGTGCCATTTACCCTACCCCCAACTGCTGCCATACTCAGTAGTCCCTTGACAAGGCTGCTCTGAGATGCCACCATTGAGCAGAGGGGCTGTGTGAGACCTTACCATAGATGGAGTAGCCAGCCGTAGAATTAGTGGCATCCAGGTGTCGTTGGTGGAGTTCACTGTGGTTGAGCTCCAAGCACTCTTGTCTTGGATCCAAGTCCCCTCCAAGCACCAAAATGTCACAGAAATCCAAGTTGTGTAGCATTTCTTCCAAGACTGCTGATTTGGGGGCTGTAGGAAGGAGGGCGCATGAGAAACAACAGCATGAAGAGCTCTTGCTCACCATGACATCAGCCTCGCCCACTACTCAAACATCAGGTCAACTTCAAGAAGGTGGTATGAATTGGTGGGGAGAAGGTATGTGTCTCTGAAGAGCCACATAACATACTATCCAGTTCCTCATCTGAGAGACATTAAAAGCCATAGCCACAGCTTGCATTTGGGGAGAGCCAAGTGGCTCTTTATCAGTCTCTTGTAGTTCTTTTTCCATGTGGACAGTGTGTGTGCATGTGTGTGTCCTGGCCAGGCTCTGAGGATCTTGAGGAAAGAAACTTCTTTAGAATCTGGCACAGGAACTGCCATGAAGCAGCCACCACTATGATTTGCTCAAACAGAGATGGATCGTTCATTAATCATCACTGGATTCAATAAGATATAAGCAAAAGTTAATTAATAATTGATATATTAGACTAAATTAATTAGTTCATATACTCCCACAGGAACACATTAGCAAGCTGGTCAGTTTGGGGGTCCTTGCCCGATTTTGTAGCTCCAAATTTCTCAGGGAAATATCTATGTATTGGAATGTTAGACAGTCTGGCAGTCCTAACTGAAAACCCCATTTTAAGATGAAGGTGACGGCTGCTTATGAAATGTATGCTGTGGCCAGGTACAGTGCAAACATAATAGACAGTATTATTCACACCCCATCATTGGGGAAATAGATGATCAAAGAAGTGGGGAGAGTTGCCCGTAGTTACATAGGGAATAAGGGGAGGTATGAGATAGTGTTGTCCTGACCCTGTAATTGGAAACTTGTAACTTCTAAGACCAAGTCTTGAGATATTATTGGTATTTATAAAAACATGTAAAAAGATATTCAAAGGACAAGATAATTATTTTAATTAGAAAATTTCAGTGGTACCTAAAATAGTTTTATTATCATTAACTATATATTATTAGTTTCTGTGTGCCTAATTTTTTTACTTTTAGCCAACCACAATGGTTCCATGTGTTACTAACAATATAGAAAAGCACAATAATCTTCATTAACACTGAGGTCAGTCATTAACAGCAGTGAAGTGTAATATCAAATGTCTCCCAGGTGTTTTCTAACTTCCTTTCAGATAGGTCACCTTCCTCATAATATGGCTGGCAAGCCACACTAGGCAGGTGCACGGACCAGCTGCCATCAATGGCTTTCCCTATGGCACTGTCTTCCATTCCTACTTTCTTGTGTTGGAGGGACTGCTGGATTAGGAGCCCAGAGTGGAGTTATCCATGGTTGAACCCTGCAGGATCTACTGGTCTGGTTTAACAGGCAGGTAAGTCACCGCCAAGAGTGAAATCTACCGTGAGCTGAAGGGAAACACCAGGGAACAGCAACTCAGTCTGGGAGTCATTGTGGCGTTGAGCCAACATTTCCGAGGTAGTGTTGAATGAAGACATATTAGCAAACAACCAATACCAGGGGTCAGGACAGCAGTGGCTACAGAGGAGTTAAGTAGCACAGAAGCATAGAAACACGTATGTGTTGGGGCATTGGGTATGCATTATGTGTGCTCCTCCTGCATAATTATGGATGGCTGTGAGTATATGTGTGTATGTGTCAGTGAGGGGCAGAAGATGACCCTGGAACTTATCACTGTGGCCTAGTAGCAAACACAGTTAGCCCGCTCATTTAAGAGTCTCGTAAAAATGACTATTTCAACAGTAAGTGTAGAAATTTAGAAGAACTAATAATAGCTCTCGGGCACTGGGCTGTGTGCTCTGCATGCACCTCTCATAAATAGAAGGTGAACTGTGGGCCCAGTTAGCTGCTTTCTCCAGCATTGCCTGTGTGTGGGTGTCAGCTTCAGCAAAGCTCGATGCTCTTGGGCTGTGACCACTGAAGTCAGCAGGCCTTCCTTTTTCAGTCTGATTTTAGCCACAAATGAGGACAAGAGAGGAGGGGAGGTCACATGACTTAATGCACCTTGGCATGTAACTGAGAACCTCCCTGGCTGGCCAGGTGTGAAATACCAACTATTTTTAGGCTTTCAGGAGGTCTGCCCCTTGAGAACCTAATCACTGGGGACCAGGGTTGTTTAAGTCAGTGGGTAATTGGGATTATTATAGAAGCGACTCTTCAGGGACTCAGGCCTGCCCGTACCTACTAGTGCATCATTAGCAATGGCTTTGGGTGGGGGAGGGGGGTTGAAGCTGTGCTTCTGGAAGAGGCTTCGAAGGATTGCTCTCAGTTAAGCACTGTCAGGAAATGCTGAGTCCCTCTGAGTTGCAAAAGGCATCCCTCCCTTCCTCTCTACAGACTCCCTCTCTGTGGGTTTCTTTCCTTTTTTCTGCCTCCAGCATATGCTCTTGTTTTCTGTGTAACCTAGTGTTTCTTCCAGGCCGAAACTAAGCCTTCCCTCGGCAACAGCCCTAATAATGAAGCTGGTGGGAATTATAAGTTCCCCAAAAGCTTAGTCATACTGCCGAGTGAGCCCCCAGCCTTCTGCTGCGTGTATGGTAATGCGAAGCTGGGTTCTATCCTTGGCACACCTTTAGTTTTTCTTCTAATGATCGGAATAATACATAACCCACTACAGGACATTTTTGCAGTCACAGAAAATGGAAGGCAAGCAGAAACAAATTGTCTCTATGCATGCTCCTTGGGGGTCACTGCTGTTAGCATCAAGTATCTTTTCTTCCGGGCTTCTCTTTCTTACATGGCTGTGATCATGCTACATGGATACTTCGAAGTCTGCATGTCACTTATTTTCAATTATCATATAGCACAACTAACATGGGTGTGCCTACACTTCGGGAAGTTGTCTGTCCCTTTCCTGCTGATCACCTGAGTGTTTCTAGCTTTGTTTGACTTTTTTTGTATCATATATCATCCTTTCATGGGTGAGCAGTGTGGTTGCCCTGATGTATCATTTTACCAGTCTATACGGAGTTAAGGTCCGCCGTCCCCATGGCCCCATAAGCACCTGTGCCTGTGGTTCTTGTGTCCCCAGATGCCTCAGTTTTGGCAAAGGTGCTCACAATCTTGATGTCAGGGAAGAGAGTCACTCCTCTGGCACTTTCAAACTGGGCAGCAGGTCTCCAGAAGCGCTCTGTTCCCTGGAGGGTGATCTGAGGCTCGATGGCCTGCAGGACCATGATGTAGGCATCCACATCTGGGATGCTGATACACACATCTTCCCCGAAGCACCTGAGAAAACATCTCCAGTCATGGCCCTGATCAGCTGATGATTTAAACCATCCACTCCAGAGCCATGGGCAATGACTGTCACCTCCAGTCCTTGCCATGTTAGCAGTCTCTGCAGATGGCCGCACACCTTCACATTCAAGGCCACATTAGCACCCTAACCACTAACAGTGCAGGGACTTAAGAGATTGGCTCCTGGGAGGGATGGGACTTTTCTATACTAGCAACAAGTAACCACTAAAGCTTTCATTATCTTTTAGCAAAGTAATCCATGGCAACATTAATTAAAAGCAACTGCTTGCTTTTGTGCACTAGTATTTGGTAAGGGAATTGCTGTCTGGTTGGCTGTAGCCATTTTACTAAATGAGGCCCCAGGGCTAGATTCTCCTGCTGTGGCATATGCACGTGTTCTGTCTCTGTGAGGATATCATGGGGGCGTGCACCTCTTCAATGGGTAAGGGCAGAAGACTGAAGTAGTTACATTACTTTACCCTAGTGCCTGCTACATGAGTATCTGGGAGACAGTAATGATATTACTAGAACCAAGGCTTGGAAGAGAGGTAGGTGAGAATCCTTGCCCTGCTTGGTCACTCCTGGCTGGGTATTTCATTGCTCTGTACTTCAGCTTCTTATCATTACAATAGGAAGAGCAATGATTACCCTGTATTAGTAATAACTAGTTATGAAGACCTTCAAATAGCTGCTGACCAGAGCTTGCTATCCCGTAAAGTCCAAGCTTTCTCAGTAGAATCATTGGAGCCTACATGTCATCAATATTCTCCATTATCAATGAATTAGGAGACTTGGGCAAAAATAGTGAGCACTGCCTAGATCAACTGTGTGCTCTAGGCATCAGGCTAGATCCCTATAGAAGCAGCTATCATCCTGTATGCTGAGGGAAGCAGCCAACCAATGGAAGAAGGAAGGGTTAGCTCCCTGTGGAAATGGATTGTTTTCATCTATTTCATGCTCTAGGTAAATGCTGAATTTGGGTGCTACTGCAGGTGCCCAGCTCAGTTTCCTGTTGCCTTTGCCATGCCCATCCAGTGGGCTCCCCTTTCCTTGTGGTTTATGGAGAGCAGGTCTTAGGGATGGACACTGGGCAGCCTCTTCCCTCCTCTTTGCTCCAATTTGGAGCTGACTCAGAGGTGCCTACATCTAATCTCAGGCCTCTAGGTGGGAATAATCTTAATCACTCTATTCAGTGTCGCTTCCCACAGTGAGCATCTCTCTCAGGCCCAGAAATGCAGCCGTCAGCAGACCCATCCTTCCCACCCTGGGTCCTTTCTCCTGTGTTCTTCTATCCCAGTTGCTTGGTGACGCCACTTCCACCTTCTAGGAGTTTCTCTGGGGCTCCTTGCCTAGCAGTCATCTCAAGTAGCTGTCATATCTGGGAAGTGAGCTATCAAAAACTACAGTAATCTCATTAATTCAACTCTGCTCCCTGTGTACAAGAGCTATGCCTTCTCCTCCTCTGACTTACCCATAATATTTAGGAATTCTCAAAGCCAAGTTGGTTAATTTAATTGAATTTAATAAATATTTATCAAGCACCTACCATGTACTAGGTGCTATACCCTTAAATCAGACCATTTTAGACAGAGCTGTTGGAGAATTTATAGGAAATAAACCTTTCTAGGCATCAGATTAGATGTGGAATAGAACACAGAGAGGTGGGTTGGAATTGATGACACATTATTTCCCTTAAGAGAGCAAAAGGAGAGCACAGGTCCCTGAAGCATCCTCCCATAGATAGCAGAGTTGAGGGAAGTTGAATAAGGTAAGGCCTACTTGCAAAGGAACAGTCTTAAGGGACCATTGTTGCTGCCTCAACTGGGCCTGTGGCATTTGGCTTTCACTCACTGGACTTTGGAAGAGAGTCTGAGGCGCCGGACACCTGCTGTTGGGAACTGCCTGGAGTTGATGTAGGAGACCTTCTGGAGGGCTCGGTTGATGTTCCCAATGTCATCGCCTTCCATCACGAGGACAGACTGTGAAGGGTTGAAGTGATACTGGAAGACAGAAGTGGGCATCATAGGAAAGTGACAGGCATGGCTCTCTGACAACCGTGCAGCTCCACAAGGAGGCCACTACGGCCACCAAAGTTATCTCCAGAACATCAGAAGATGATGAATCGGCTATGCTCTCCACCTCCCCAGTAAGCTGTTCTACTTTCTTCCAAACTTCAGGACCTTCCCTAGGAGTTCAACCTAAGGATTAGACATCCCTGGTGATATCAGCCTGAACTACAGAATGAAAATCTGAAAACCCTGTCACAGTGTTCTTGCTAAGAGATATTTTTGTTTGGTTTTACAGACAGAGTCTCACCATGTAGGCATGACTGGCCTGGAATTGACTATGTAGACTAATAGGTATTAGCCTGTGCCTCCTGAGTATTGGGATGAAAGGTGTGAGCCACCATGCCCTGCGATAGCAAGGATTTTGTGCTATTTTCAATCTTTTACCGATATTATCACAATCTATAATCTCATAATAAACACATGAATGTATCCAGAAGACACATCCTGGCAAGGAAAATTTCTAGGTCAAAGAGTAATACATGTTATCTGTCCATGCTGGCAAATTTCTGATTGCTTGAATTGTTAACAAACACACACACACACACACACACACACACACACACACACACACACACCCCTTCCATCTACTTTAACCTCATCCGTCTGTATGCTATCAGTCTTTGGGAACCCAGCCAGGCTTATAGGTGACAAACACCAACTAACTCTAGTTTTAATTCATATTTATCTTACTACATGGAAAGGTGAATATATGTTCTCATGGGTTTAAGGAAAACTATATGCTGCTTTACCCTGACCTGACCCAAATGTCTTCAAAGCAATACTGTTGTTACATTTTGGAAACGGATGTGTCATTGTTGGTGACACTGAACCAAGTGAGTCACTGGCATGGTGGTCCTAGTCAACCGATGGGTCTTTCTTCGTTTCTTCTATCTACTACATAAGTGCTTTATTTCTGCCTACTCCTTAAAGCACCTAGCTTTCCTTATTTAGGTCCCACTAGGATTGTGTGCTTTTTCTTTCTGGTAGCACTTACAAAAGCATGGTAGTAGCGAGATTACATGGCACACTGATGAGGGATTGTCTCACTGAACACAGGGCTCTATTGACCCCTTGCTCCCAGAAGCTAGCGCTAGTGATCTGAGAACTCCTGTCAGATGGATAAGCGAATGGTTCCCCAAGCCTCCATTTTACTCCACAGCATCTCCTGTGCCCTAGCATGGCCTCCTTCTAGTCATTTGCTTTTCAGCAGAGCTTTTCACCACAGTAGCAAACCCGCTGTTTCCCCTTCCTGGGCACTGGAGAAGTGACACTTCCTACCTCCCCTGTGCCATGTGACACCTGACCAATGAGACACGAGAAGAGGTGAAGTATGATCCCCTGGGCCAAGGCAGGGATTGCCCTGTGGAGTTCTCTAGTTTTTCCCCTCCACTCTAGTGACCTTCAGCCTGTACACGGGAACTCTATGTCAGCTCCACTACTTAGTATAAGAGGAAATCACTTCTATGTGTCAGTCACTGAATCTGGAGAGTTACTACCACAATAGGTCAGCCTGCTGGAGGATGAAGTCAGCCCTTCCCAGTCATGATTCTTCTCTGAGGCTGTGTAGCGTGTCTAAGAGAAAACAACATTTGGGATTGTCATTCTAGATCCAATGCACACTATGAAGTACAATTTTGGACAGTTCCTCCCCCTTTCTGGACTTCATTTTCTCATTTAAAACATGAAGAAATGGATAGCTACCTGTCTGAAGTTTAAATGAGATAACATATAGGATGACTCTATTGCAGATGAACTACTTAGAGCTAGAAGTATTTGGGATGTTGTAGTTTTTTTTTCTTTTAGATCTGGAATATCTGCACATAAATGAGATGTTTTAGGGCTAGAATTCAAGTCTGTATATGAAATTCATTTATGGTTCATATATATCTCACCCACACTGTCTGAAGGTAACTGTATATAATATTTTTAATGTGCCTTTGGTTTGGCTTTGGTCTGTCACAGGAGACTAGCTGCAAGTTTTTCATTTGTGATAGCATGCCAGTGCTTATGGAGTTTTGTATTTCAGAACACTAGATTAAGGATGCCCACTTGATATAAAGTTTCTCGTATTTACAAAGCATTCAATATATGAAAACTTGGGTTACAGTTCCCAGTGTTGTAGTAAGTCCATCTTTGTTGAGTCTTTGCTGGTGGGGCCACTGGGCCTTTGCTGCCTTTCCTTCCCCATGCTCTAACCCTTTCTAGTCTCTCAGAGCCCAGGGTAGTGCCCCTCAGAGCCCAGGGTAGTGTCCCTCAGAGCCCAGGGTAGTGTCCCTCAAAGTCCAGGGTAGTGTCCCTCAGAGCCCAGGGTAGTGTCCCTCAGAGCCCAGGGTAGTGTCTCTCAGAGCCCAGGGTAGTGTCCCTCTGAGCTGTGACCTCTGTCCATGCCCACAGCTTCCTTGCTCTAGATTCAGGAGGTCCCAGGTAGATGTTTTACAGCCAGTCACTGGGTGTGTCTCTAGCCACTGTTTCACAGCCAGTCACTGAGTGTGTCTCTAGGCATGGATGCTTCTTCCACTCAGGATGCTCAGTCCTGAAGCCCCCACACACCAGTGGGTCACAATCAGATCTGAAACATTTTTACAAGTCATCCATTTTAGATGTGAGAAGATTTAAGGTCATCCTTCAAAAGACACTAAGAACTCTGGCCTCTCCTCTACACAGGGCCTCGGGTGCTTCACTGGAGTCTTGTGGCGCTGCTGCTGTCTGTGTGGGACCCTCAAAGACCTGGTTACTGGTTTTCCTCAGTTTTTCCACAGGGTCTAGAGTGTCACTAGTATGAAAAGGATGGTTAGCCCTGCACAGCAGGCTGAACTCTGAGTCTGGCATGAGGCTGAATGGGAAGATCTACAGGTTCATCCAGAACAGTGGTTCCCAACCTTCCTAATGCTGTGACCCTTTAATACAGTTCCGCATGCTGTGGTGACCCCCAAGCACAACATTATTTTTGTTGCTACTTTATAACTGTAATTTTACTACTGTTACGAATTGTAATCTAAATATCTGTGTCTCCCGATGGCCATAGGTAACCCCTGTGAAAGGGTCATTGGACCCATAATGGGGTCACCACCCACAGGTTGAGAAACGCTGTTCTAGAAGGATGACCAGGTAGCATTTCTTGGCAATAAACAGAGCACATGTCTCCACTGAATGCTAGCAAAGGCACAGGATTTCCAGGTAATTCCCAGCCCAAGCACAAGAACATCCTTCTAACCACAGAGCATAAAGATGGACGCTGGCCCAGCTGTCAGTATAGTTCCTGAAAGGTCAATAAAAGTCTCCATAGGCTCTCATATTTTTCTAGGTGCAGTATTCCATGCTTTGGGGATATGTGTGTAGTTATGAGGCAGACATGTTTGCACTGGCATAATCGTAGGGGTAAATGGTGTCCATAGTTTCTTAGGAATCTGTGCTGTGACCATAGCAAGCCAGGAAGATGCCAGACAGATATCTTCCACAATGGCCCCTTCTCCCAGACACTCAACTGGCTTCTTCAGCTTCCTTGCAGGTTGGACCATCAGTGAAATCCTGTCTAAAGCCTTCGTTCCTATGCTTCAGCAACAGGCTGGCTATGGCTTGTTGGGCATCTTGTTATTTCTTGATTATCTGCTATCTGCCAGCCTCTTTGATCTGTACCAAATGGCTTAGAGGGTAAAGGCCTTTGTCACCCTGAGGCCCACACAGTGGAAGGGGAAAACTGAGCCCCATAAATTGTCCTCTGACTTCCCCATGAGTAACATTGCATGTGCCCACCTCCAAATACATACGTAAATGTAGTAACAAATGAACAGAAAGGTCTACTGTGCTACAGAAGGACCTGTGATTTGTTGAGAACCCATTATGTTTGCTATAGTGATGTATATCGATATGTTTAGTAAATTAGTACATTGCTAAAAGACGCATTGTATTAATTCCATTTTGTACATGGCTTGGGGGCTGAAATATCTTGCCCGGGGTCACCACGGCAGTAAACAGTAAATAAATATTGGTGTTGAGAACAGTGTCTGGCTATGAGGTCAATGTTCTTTCTTGCTCTCCCACATTGTGAAGGTGATGATGGCAAGGATGGTGCCATGAAAATCAGAACAGGACAGTCTTCCAAAGTGGGGCTGCTCCATGGAATCTTGGAGACTCGTGGGTACAAGGCAACAGCCACCTCAACCCTGCAGAGACCGAAATGTGCTTGGGAAGTAAGCAGAAATATGCATGAGCCACAGGATGGCAAGTGGAGCAAACAGCTGGTGTGAGCCCCTGTGAGTGGAGAAGTTCCTTCAGCAAGTGACACCTCACTTCTTTGTAGGTCAGTCACACAGAAGGAGGCTAGTCACTGGCAAATCAAATGACAGCCATTCAGAAAGGACATGCCAGGGACACGCATGCAGGGTCTGAAGGAAGTTAGTTTTAACAGTGGTCAGGGCCATCTTTTAATCAGATCTGCTGGTGTGAAGGAAAGAGCATGGACTTATTTTGGACAAATCCCCAAGCCCCAGTCCCCTTGCTTTTGAAATGAGGTCATAATATTTAATTTGTTTTGAGGAGTAGAGATAATGAACATAAAACAGCCCCCAGTGAGCGCTCTGTAAACTTGAGTGTCTTATTAACTTCTCTCACAGACCTCGGGCTCTCACAAGCCATGCCTTAGGGATGGGAAAGGATAATTTGCAGTGACTTGGGTACGAGCAGGTGGGATGCTGAGAGCCTCCCCCTAGATCCCTCTATTTGTGTGACACTTAACTTAGCACCTTTTCTTTCCACAGGCTATGACTATTTGGTAGAAATCACTTTTGTTCTTAATTTATAATTCACAAATTGCTTGGATGTTAAGTCTAGCATCTTTGGGTTTTTTTTTTTCTCTCTCTCTCTGTCAAACCTGGAATTCTGCAACAGTGGCCCCTTGGGATGGTTCAATGCAGAGGGCGCATCTAGAGGCAGGCAGTGAGTTGGAGTGAGAAAAAAAGAGAGGGTTGGAGGCTAATCTCTGCAGCACTAGGTGGACAGTATCCCAAGGAAATAGCACATGCTGACCAGACCAGCTTTTCCCAGTAACATGTGATTAACATGTGTGTATGAGCATGCGTGTGTCAAAGCCATGGTAAACAATATCTGGAAAGTCAATTTTGCCTAACCATGCCTTCTGTATTCCTTCCATCTTCCCCTTCAGACCCAGTGTCCAGGGTAGGCACCTTAAACCTTCCTGCATGGCCAAGATTATTCTCTCGTGCTTGAGCTTTCAATGGCTCCTGGTGGTTGGCGGAAAACAAACAAAGACCCGCATCTAAATGTGTCTAGGACTGCCCATGGCATGGTCTTCATCCAGCTCGCTGGTCCCTCTCTTGTGCTACTATTTGGACACCCACAACACTGGCCCTGAGGTTTCTGTGCATTTCTGCAATGCTCCTAGCTCAAATTCCCAGATCTTCTTGGGAGAGGCTGCCCTCTTTCCCCTTCCTTTCTCAGATGGATTCCTACCTGTTCTTACACATTCGCCCCAGGCTTCCCCTCCTCTGGGGAGCATTCCCTGAAGGCCATTTATCCTGAATCTGGAGCTATGGAGTGAGCCTGCCTAGATTCAGTTTCGGGCTCACTGACGTAAGGATGAGGCTTGAGCACCCTTCATCCTTCAGTTCTCAGTATCTGTTTGAGAACATCAGGGTACCTTTATCAACGGGAAGGGGTATCACATACAGTAATAGTCATAGAGCATTTAGAATGAGCAGTGTCTGCCTCTCAGAGCCCTTGAGGAAATGCCAGTGCTCACTGTCAATGTAGTAGTACCCAAGCAGGTTTATTGACCCCTAGGGCCACCCAATTATCTGAAGACAATAAGCCGAGAGCATCCACCTATGTAAACTAGAACCCTATCCGTAGCCGCAATATGTCATGTTTGCTGAGATGATCACATTTTAATGAACATCACAGGTGCTCAGATCAGCAGGCCCTGCTTGCATACCCAGAGCCAGAGTCGTCAAACATCGGGTTCCTGTTAGGAACAAGTTCTGCTGGAAAACGAGTCCCTGGCTAGGAAAGGCAGGCCCATGGCAGACTGGGGACATATGGGCAACAGGAAGAGATCCTCTGTTATTGTCACCTTCCCTTGGGAAACAGCCAAGGGGAAACTACTCTGGCTTCTGTGGGCTCTAGATGCTGTCCTGGTTTCCAGGACACACTGGGTAGGCCACCCTGACTTCCAGAAAGCAGTTGGGGTCTCACCTTACATGAGCCTGTGTTGATTCATTAGGGCTCTTGATGGAACTGACCCTGCTCTTTATTCAGAACTGGGGCTCAGGACCAGAGAGAGCTTCTTACCTGTCAGAGAGAAGCTTCCCCCTCCCCCACCTTCTGGGAGATGCTTTTCTCAGAACACAGCTCAGATTTCCTGAATCACTTGAATATTTTTGTTTCACATAGGCAATAAAACCACAAATCTTTTCATGTTCCTTGTGACTTCCAGATATTGCTTGGAGGCGGGCTGGCTTCACTTTGACAATGTAAGACCTAGTGACTGTCACATCTGTTTCCAATTCTACCTCAGTCTGTCTGCTCTCTCCTTTCCTGTTTGGGTTTTGGAGTCCTAATTTTTTGTTTACATTTTATGCGTTTGAAATGTATTCTTGCCTGCCGCTTTAGTGCCTCTAGGCAAATGAATAGAAAAGTAACCAGCCAATCTGTAGACAAATGAAGTTTCGTACTTCCCTGCAGGCACACATGGGATGGCGTCTACTGTCTATGCTGGAGTACCTGATCTAGCCATTTCAGGATCCGGCAGCAGAAGTCCATCCTGGAAGTCATGGTCACTAACTGGTCTCTGCCAAGGTGTGGTCACACTTTAGCTGACCCACCATTTCTGTGAGGCTTCTCCGGAAACCATTACTTCCCAGCATGCTCAGGTACCGGGTAGCCTTCCACTCATAAATCAGTGTCTTATCCGGAGTGGCAGCGGCGCCTTCCTTACCTTTATTCCTTGCCCGAGGCTTTCCAAGGAATTAATATCCAGCCCTTCTTTGCAGGCTTGCAGACAAGAAATCACCTTCTGGCTTTCCATTTTGCCAGGACGGATCGTGAGGCTGGCGAGGCTGCCATGGAAAAACTGTGCAAAGCGTGGTTTGGCCACTTCGCCCCCTGTAAGAACAAGAAATACTATCATCTGCCTTGAGGAGACCAGGTAGGAAGCACCAGGAACCAAGGTCACTCTTACTGTCTGTGTCTTCTTTAAACCTAAGGGACAGAAACAAGCCAGTGTGTGTTTGTGTGTACACGGGCTGAGCACCGTGGGGACTAGGGTCTTCTACCATGTCCATGCAAGGTTCAAAGTGCACATGCAGCAGCTTCATCCCAAGCCACGCCCATCTCCTCCCTGCTCTCCATGCTGCTCTTGAGGTCTGCTTATAGCCTACCTCACCCAGACAGCCCGTTTCTGGTGTCTTTACTGTATACAGTCCTCCTCTTCCGTCTTTGGAGGGACTGCTTGACTTTTTGTTCAGAGAAGAAACAGAACTGAGTCCCCATCTTGATAGTTCCCAGGAGAGGTTTTGATGGCTCACGGAACACATTAGCGCCCCCTACCTCTCGTAGGCTGTTTCAGTACGAAGCTCTGGCTGCTTCTGTGGTTTTTGTTGCCTGAGGCTTGATAACAGACTGGGCATGCCTGTGAATGTCTTTCCTACTTCTTCAAAGGGCAGCTTCCCAGCAAGTGGCACTGTGGCACTTTGCTGCTCTTTGGCAAGCCAGGTGTGCCAACAAAGCCCTGTCTGTGGGTCGTGGACGCTCCTCGGGCACACAGCTCCTATATTCCTTAGTGTTCAGTATGACTTCATATGCGGTACTCCGCTTCTTTATGCTTTCCTATGGAAACTTCTTAGGTGCTGCCTATTGACTCTCTCCTGCAGTTTTACTGCATGGCTCTGTCTACTACTTGACACGGACTTGCCTGGGCTCTCCCCCCACCTGTTCCATTGCTCTCACTCTTGCTCACCCCCATCCTGTCCTCCCTGTTGCCCAGATGAGGCAAATTTCACAGTTTTTCAAGGTCTCTTAGATTCTCTGTCACTGCTCCTTCCTCAAACCTTACTGAGTCCCTGCTTCCCAAGCCCTGTCCCTGCCCTGAGACCCACTGGGCTCTAGGCTTAGGGCCTGGATCACTGTTAGTTGGTTCTCTTGCAACCTTCCACTTGACATTGCTGGCGAATTGTTTACTCGCATATGCTGTCCTTAGTAGCCTAAATTGTTATCCTCCACCTTGGCTACAAGTTTTAATCATCTGGGAATCTTTAAAAAGATAAACTGGCACCTGGTGCTTGGTCTGACCCCCTGGGGATTTTGACTTAATTGGTACGGGGAGTTTTCAGAAGCTTCTTGGGTAAAGCAGATGTGAATCCAAGGTTAAGAAGCACTGAGCCGTGAGCTTCTCCAGGTTGGGCCTTTTGCATACGCCTTATGTGATCTCTCTCCTTGATGCTACCCGCAGGCTTGCTCTTCGCAAGCTGCTATAATTTATTAGTTTAAGCCTCTCTTTCCTGGATAGCAAAGATCACTCATGCATTATTCATTTTAATGAAGACAATACTGAGCAAGTAAGTATTAGGGGCTGAGGGTTGCACCAGACACTGTGCATAAGTTGACTCATTTATTCTTCTCAAGAACACTTGGCCTCTTGTGTCCTCTTGGCATGCTGTAGTCTGCCTGGCATACAACAGACACTTTATAATTGCCTGTTGAATTGAAGCAGATGATGTGCAGAATGCCATCAGAGTCACCGTGGGCACTGCGGCTCTCTCACCCTTCCCTTCTTGCTAAGGCAGCCTGGAGGCTTTGGACATAGGCACAAGCTCCAGGGACAGAGTCTAAACAAATTTTATTACTCCATCATTGCTCCAATGATGGATTCAGGGGTGGGTCTTGGGCCAAATAAGATGATGAAGCCAATCACTACCTGGCATTCAATAAGCCATAATTATAGATCCGAGAATATGCATGGAACCAAATTTATACTACCATCGTGAGAGATGATGACTGGTAGCTTATGCATAATAGCTTCTATTTTGCTCTCAGAAGGCTTTCAATTAACTCTTGTTGTCCTTCTGTAGAGAACCCACAGCTGCATAAGCCATCTTGTCATTGGCCTAGGAGTGGTAAGGGCAAAGCAAAATGTAGGGCAGAGCTAGAGGAGTCACATGGGACCGAGTAGAACCTCAGTGGGTATCCCTACTGCTGTGTCTGGGATATCCTCTGCTATAGGAACCATCTGTCTTCATGGGTTAAACCATTTTGTCTCACAGATTGTTTCCTTGCCGCAGAAGGATTCTTTGCTTTGCAAGTAAAACAAGTCTTTCTAGTGCTTGGTTCCCAGGGAATCCCAAATAGATGTGACTCTGATGAATGGCCTGAAAGGGACATGGCTATGGGAGGACAATTTGGGGTTTTCTGATCTTGATGCTCCTCCATGACATTCACATGTTCATGCCCTAATGTTATGGCTTGGATGTCAGGTGCCCCCACCAAGAGGCTCCTATATTGAAGAGTGGGTCCCTCATGTTTGGAGGTTGGGTTTTTAGGAAGAAATTGGGTGATGAGGGCTCTGACCAAATCATTGACTTAATCCACTGAGGGATTCAAACTTTGAATAGATTGCGGGGAGGCAATAGAAGCATGGAGAGTGAGGCCTCTTTGAAAGATGCAGGCCATTCTATTGGTCCTCTGGAAGTCCTAGGAACAACCTGACTCCTCCACACCCTTCTGGCAGGATGTTCTCCCTCCACATGGCCCAGAAACAATGGGGAAGGCTGGTTAGGGACTGAAGGTTCTGAAGTCATTGAACCAAGATAAATCCTTCTGTACACGAGGATTTTATTTTTACTTGTATTTGTCATATAAACAAAATGTGTGGCTTATAATCATGTGAATTGATATCTAGAGATCTTTTTTGGCCTATAGAAAAGAGGTCTGAGCATGAATCATGGAGGTGCTATCCAGATGACCGCCTGTTTCCTGCCCTGGCTCTATCTTTGATCAGTAGAGTCAATGAGTATCGCCTACTAGGTGTGACCTGTGTACCTCACACCATGTGCAATCTCAACATGCATCATCTCCTTGAATCTTCATAACCACCCTGGAAGATAGGCAATCATTATATAGGCACTCCTATATAATAAAACTTAGGCTTGAAGTTGTAAATATATATCCCTTCAATCTGAGTACACCATCTATTATCTAGTCTGCCTCATAATCTTACTCAGAGGCTCCATCTCAAAGGCCAATATCTGTGACAGGGTTGGATGCCAAGATACCATGTTCTGTATGTCAACTCAAGAATCTGTGCTGCATTCTGTTTATGAGGCAGAAGTCTGTAGGAATTGGATTTAGTTAGCATTTTGCAATGGGAGAAATACATAAAATTTGAAGTACATTTTACCTAGTAACAGATATGATATAAGGTATCAAAAATAATAGATACACTGGCAATTTTCTCTTTTTAATATTGAAGGTGTCTATATGGGACACACAGCTCTTCCATCAAAATTCAGAATAAACTTGTTCATGAATCCTTTTAAGAGTACAAAAATATCAAAACTTTGTTTCCAGACATGAGCCTGGATACTTTAGACTAGATCAGCATTTCAAAACATTTCCTGTGCATCTAGTCTTAACATTAGGTTCACATAATTGTAGGCTGTGGGCTAGGGTCTTCAGGAGTTAATACTGAGAGGTGAGAGAGACTAAGGTGAATTAAAATATAAGAATTAAATGTCCTAAGATAACCTGAGGTTTCTAAGGCAGCACATGATCAATGTCTAAACTAGATGTCTACTAGGTCAGAGGAAAAAAAGAGCTACCTTGAGGACCTTGAAATGCATCAGGTTCTCTTATATGCTGTTTCACTGATCCTGAAAGATGAGTGTATTATGGAGATCTTAAGCTCTGTTCTTTATGTTTTCATTGGGTATCTCTCCCATCTTACTTCCATTTATGTAAACCTCTAGCCTTGCCACAGGTATGGTCACAGAAGAGGCCCAAGCTGAGTACCTACCCAAGCGTGGGCTTCAGAAACAAACATTTCAAAGGGCAAGGAGGACCTGACAGTGAGTTCACCTTTGGGAGGGATAGAGGAAGAGAATCAGGTATCTTCCAGATGAGGTAGCTTGAAGAAATGGAGAGGATAAATCACAGAATGAAATCACTTACAGGTGCTTCTGGGGCTGAGCCCCAGCACGATGTGTGATACCTGTATGGCACGAGGTAGACTGTCCACAGATGGACCTGCACAGAGACCATGAGAAACCCCACTGATATTTATGTAGCCCCATGGAAGGCAAGGAAATGCCGTGACAGCTCTCAATCCTAAGAGATCATTAGTGACTGCCCACCAAAAGAGGTAGGTGAGCAGCATCACAATGAAAAACCACATGGAAAGGTGACTGGACCACATTACCCTATAGCTCTACATATTCATCTCCCCAGTCAACCTACCATTACCCAAGGAAATGGAAAACTGCCAAATTTGAGGAGATTAAAGCTCCCTCACTCACATGGAATGGAAATTTGAAATGATACAAAGATGGGTGTGGAAAGAAAACCATTTCATCTTTGTGAATTGAAAGTCTGATCTGATTCACTGACAACTCTTTTTACAAAAGAAATTTACAGGTTTTCATAACTTTTCCCAGGTCATGTGGCCAAGAAAAAGTAACATTAAGATTCAGACTTGACCCAAACTTCTCCCTGCACATCAGCTAATCAGATGTGGCTGAAAAAGTTGAAAGAAGACTTACTGGAGGGGAACAGGTTGGGACAGATATGGTGCTGGCAGTGGATACCTGAGTTACGTGGCTTCTGTGGACACTGTCTGGCTTCAGCAGCAATTAGTAGCAGCTGGGATACAGTGGACTGGAAACCCAGGTGTTTTCAAAAAACAGCCAAACAGTTGACCCCTGAGTAGTTTCACACCTACTGGTTTAATCAACCACAGACTAAAATCATCTAAATAGTAGTAAACACAGATCTGTCTTTTTTTCTTGTCATTATTCTCTAAGCAGTAGAAGTCATTACAGAACATTTATACCCCGTTAAGTCTTATAAATAATCCAGAGATAATTTTAAGTATATGGGAGATAATTTGTTATGTTTATGCAAATATTCTACGACTTTATATAAAGAACTTAATATCTT